ATGAGTACTTATATAGCACGAACTGTGCCGTTGAACAGCATTCATTCGAAACATAACTCTGTCTCTCTCGTGTAAGCATACAAGCTGTCGATCCTTTCCGCAAATTTAGCACGTGCAATTACGCCCAACAACCAGCCGGTATGCCGTCTAGATTCTCGTCATCTCACATCAGATTATGACTGCGGTCGGGAAGGGATTTCGCGGACCTCTACGGGGCGTGTTCATACCACACCAAAGCGGCGAATCAGAGGATCAGCGAAAAGATATGACCAGAGGGATCACTATTCTGCTCCATTCACGCTGTTATTTGATCAGCCGTACCGCATGTTCTCCGAACACATGGATTTTTCAGCTCAATACCTATGTTGTCCTTAGAGTGCATATCGATCGTTTGGATCGCGCGATTGAATCGCGAAGCGTGAATGCGGTAGTGTGAACCTTGCTTACGACACTGGTAGACGGCCACGAGTACTGCGATCACTACAGATATCAGTATGTGGAAGCAAAAACTCAATCTTCGCATCTGTACCCAATAAAGCACCAACCTGGAAGCATGAGGTCAGCTCCGTTTTCCAGATGACCAAGAACGGATTCGTGAATAAGGAGCATGGGGAATGCCACAGGAGCCATCTTCGTGCAATATATCGTTGGAAATAGTACACCTTCCGCATCGAGGTCGAAGAACATCGGATCCTTATCCACCAAGTACACATTCAGAGTAGCACCATTGAAGGCGATAAGTTTTGCATGAGCAACAAGTGCCTTCTTTGGAACCAATTCACCTACTTCAGGAGGAAGCCTCTGGAGGAGTTTCTTGCTGGAAAAGTCAGTTCTTTCAAAGCTGACGGCCATGTAGAAACAAAGTAACTCACACATCTGAGTTCCTCATATTATTGTTCTTTTTTACGGAAAACGGTTTCCGGAACATCTTCGGGAAGTGACGTGGATGTTTCGAATAGCAAAATACGGATATGAGGAGTAGCTACTGCACGATAGATCTTCTTCAGTAGCACCTCAGCATTGGTCACAGCGAAGTAACAAATATAAAAAGCGAATTGAATACAATATCATGCACTATAGGTGCTTTGTCGTGAATCTGAATGTCTCGTCCGCATTGCGTTTTTCTCACGCCTAAACGATCGTATAATTCTATTGGATTGAAGCCTTTCAATTGAATAAACCCAACTAATGTCTGCAGAACCCTTATGCGACTCTGTCTCTCAAGGTACACCTTCGACGAGGGATAGATATTAAGCGCTTTATGGCATTACTAACTTCGATAGAGCAGTGGGAAAATTTCGTGGACTGTATCATGGAGATGACCGCAACCTTACAAAAGGCACCAATCTAACGCCTAAATCCATCAGTGTGTGCTTTTGTCAGTACAGCTTCATTTTATCGGATTTGGTTTCATATGTTACATCTTTATAATTCTGATTCAAATGTGGATGGATAAATCATCAAAGAAACCTCATTGGTGTACGTCTGAATATTTGTTTATTTGGGTGGTTGCTAAGGTAACGACGGTCTCAGAAAAGCACCCGTACTATCAATGTCATGAACGTAGGGCTCCGAACGTAGGTGTTTGAAAGTCATAATTTTTCTTTGACCTTATCTGGGCTAAAAGCCTGTCCGGTGCTCTTGGTAGTCTGTTTTGCTTTGTCTTCTTGTTCATTTAATCACCAGAACATTTGTGCTCTGATTTTGCTCTATCTTTACGACAATTCTTTTCGTGCATCACTATATTTCAATTTTGAATTATGAACAAGCTTTCTAGGTGTCACTATGGGTAACCAATATGTGAAACCTCCTAGGGAAGGGAATTCTCCATACACTCGGTCCGGAATACCGCCTCCTGCCCTGGTGAAGAAGTCCGATAAGCCACTTCATAGGTGAGCTATGTTTTTCTCTTATGTCCTTTTCTTTCCTTTTATTCCTTTACTTTCCCTCCTTTTTTCCTTTTTCTTTATAGTTGGTTACAACAGATTATGACAGCTTACTTCTAGAGTTAATGACCCGATGTCTTTGGAGTTGCACATGGCGGACGAGCGTGTCCGAGCGGCTGGTCTCAGCCCGGCAGAAAGAGAGTGGCGAATGAAATGGCTTAAGGTTCTGTTTCTGCTTTCCCTCTAAACGCGCAATTCCATTATCATTAGCATTTGTCGATTTAGGACCAACACCTGCATCCTGATGAGCCTATTGTCGTTGATGCTGTACATCGTCAACTGAATCCTATACGCATACTCTACAGGTGGCCGTGGGACAAGCTTTATCTCCACTTTCTCAAGGTGTGTCTAGATCTACTGTGGTTTTCTGCATGTTTTAAATAAGCGTTTCTCCTTTTAGCCAACTTTTGGCGTTTATTATGGAACTGTCATTCGTGTTTCTGTACCAAAGCTATTCATGGCTTTCATTGCTCTAGAAACGATGTATTACTATTGGAAATATGAAGTTAAGGTGAGTATTATAGTTGTACTCCTATTTGATGTCGAAAATTCTCAGTATCTTCTCTATATGGGTCTTTCTCAGGACTGGCAACATCTCCGTGGTATTGAGACCTCGCCCCTGAAGCAAGTCATAACGAATAAACTTGAAATAGACGAGAAGTATCCTGGATTGATTGAGAAGGCTCTCGATGATCCGGCTAAGCACGGATATCACACGTATGTTCTGTTATTTTTACGTCTCCTAACTGTCAATAAGTTATAGCAAAACGCATCAGAAGTAGTTTTCCCCGAGATTCTGGGTTGATTTGCCTTTCCCATAATGCCTCGAAGGTGTTCTTAGGGCATGTCGGTATATTAGCACTATTATTTGTTGTGGTACGCTCCATGGTTAGTTAAATCTTAGCTAAAAACCCCTGCATCCATGGCGTATTTGGAGCAGGCAGAGCAACTAGGCCCAAGAAGCATGAAAAATACAATGCTCAGAAACGCCCATGTTTCCCGTGCTTTTCTTGTTGGACCATGATGACTTCGATTTACACCGTGGCGCTAGTAGCGAAGGGAAAGCATGTTTGTCGTGTTGTTTCAGCCACTCCCTGGCTTAAGAATGGTGATTTGTGCGGCTCAAATACCTATGGCTGGATGGTAAGTAACAAAGAACTCAGGAAAAAGTAGAAAAAAAAACCTACCGAAATGCCGGTTATTGAATTCCATGTTGAACCGCGCATAAGGAGAAACAAGGGCGCGGTCGGGCGAGTTTAGTAGCAGAACTAGCGCGCCTTCAGTTGGATGTTAGAACTGAAAGTTGAGCGTTGCCGTAGCCAATGGGTGGATTCGTGGCCTCGTCTCGAACGGGTCGCGCTTTCCTCACGCTATTTTGAGCTGCGAAAGTGTTAAAGTACTCGTAAAGTATACACTCTATGCTTGCGAGCAGGACTGCTTTCTCGGAAGAAAGCGCCTGAAAATCGAATGAACGCGGGAGTGCGTAAAGCTTCTCCTTGTTCGCGCTGTTTTTATAACATTTTCACGAGGAATATGAGCAAAATTTTGATCACGAAGTAATGAATTGTCGCTTCGACACTAATGTTACTCCATGTAATTAGCGGCAGTGACGTGATGGAGTGGGCATGGCTGCGTGCTTTACTTGAATATGGCGTAGAATTGGTTGTTGGTGGGATACCTCCATTTGGTTCAGTGTCACCGTACTGGACAACCATTGTTTCAGCTGTTCTGAAAGTGTGCTCTACCCCTCCAAATAAGTACGCTGTTACGGACTTACGGACTCACCTTGGGATATGGAGGGGTAGAGCACACTTTCAGAACAGCTGAAACAATGGTTGTCCAGTACGGTGACACTGAACCAAATGGAGGTATCCCACCAACAACCAATTCTACGCCATATTCAAGTAAAGCACGCAGCCATGCCCACTCCATCACGAAGTAATGAATTGTCGCTTCGACACTAATGTTACTCCATGTAATTAGCGGCAGTGACGTGATGGAGTGGGCATGGCTGCGTGTACTTGAATCGGCGTAGAATTGGTTGTTGGTAGGATACCTCCATTTGGTTCAGTGTCACCGTACTGGACAACCATTGTTTCAGATGTTCTGAATGTGTGCTCTACCCCTCCAAATAAGTACGCTGTTACGGACTTACGGACCCACCTTGGGATATGGAGTATATGCTGTTCTCCCAATAGAACCATCAACACATATACCATCGGAGCTTGCTCTGGCGATAACCCCCCCAACCCTTCCTCTCGTGATAA